ACTTGCAGCTTCTCTGGGCTTTAATGTTTTTTGCACGCTGAGTTTTAGCCACTAGAAATTAAAACTAGTGTATTAAAAACATGGTTGCTCAGTAGACAAAAGAATTGTCTAAATCTTTGCGGTGAATGTTTACATTCACTAAAGCCCACACTTTCACATTTCTCATTGAGGTGTATGCTTTAAAAAGAGAAATGGTTGCCATGCATTTAATTAAATTTTTTTAACTCCTGGGTGTGGATGCTAAAGGAGGCGCACCCATGCATGGAAAAAATAATTATTATTGTGTAATAGTACATCATAATACTCCTTTTCAAGTACTTTAATTGCCAAGTTTTTTATGACTGAAAAAAATGTTGCAAGCTTCCTGTCCATCGAGTAACTCCACCCTTTTGGGGCACAGCTGCCTGTGGTGTTCTCCCTCTTTGGCAGCAGGCTTCAGCTCTCTGTTGCTCACTGTGTGGCTCTCCTGGGTCACTGTGCCGCCTGGGGCTCGCTTCGCCCCATCTGTGCCAGCAAATTTCCTGGCGGGTGCCCTTGTAACATGAACTGCATGGTCAAAAACATCCGTTAGTCTGGAACCACCATCATCCTCACCTCTATTTCAATTCCTTTATTTTGTTTTTCATTTGAATTGTATTTAAAAGTTTAAGGTCAGTCACTGTACACTTATGTTTAACTTAATGAACAATTGTATTACTATCTTTATTTTTACAGTTGCGGACATGCTGTCATAGCCCATATTCATTCAAGCAATATATTGTTCAGACTGTAGTGCACAGAGCTCTTTGGCTACAGAAATAGACCAGTACCACCTCAGCACTGAGTCAGTGTTGCCTTTTTGCAGCCCTTTAACTGGATTTAGTTTAGCGCTCCATCATACTCGAGGACTGACAGCTGCTTGTTTTTCTCCTGTTGCAAAGTAAACACATTCATTGGGCACATATCCATCTGTGTATTGACTGCAGAGTCACGCTCCCTGGTTGCTCTGTGCACATGCAGTCACTGCTGAGTTGTGGTTAATCAGTCTTAGACATGGATAATTAGTCATTCACTGAGCTGGAGACAGTCAGTAAAGGTAAATAAGCCTTATGCAGTTACTCCCTGACAGGTCTAATTTTCTTGCTTCTGGATCTAGTGCCAAAGCTTTTCCTTTTCTCTGATTGCATTGAAAACTAAAAAGGTTCTTAGTTCTTGTTTTGTTCTTCCTGTCTGGTTCATTGTTGCTTTATTTTTATGTTGACTGAATGTCACCGTCTCTGTTTCCTGCCCTCCAGTGTTCCTTCCATCTCTGTGCAGCTGAATGGATCCACCAGCGTGAGCTCTGCCCTAGCAGGTAAATGGGTCACTGACCATCCATCCTCAGCGTAACCCCTGCTCTGTCTATCCTTCAGTACACCTCTCAGTCAGTTTCAGGTTTTATTCAGTAGACTGTTAGTATTTTAGATGCCACTCCACTGCATTTGTTTTCCCTGTGAGTGTCCGTCTGTTTAGGAAAAATGTGCCAGGAAAAGCCTGAAGGAGGGAGGTAAAAATAAAAATGTGCGCACCCTAAATGTTAAGCAAACATCAGAGAGAGGCTTAACTGATACCATCCCATTTGTCATAGCAGTGTACCTAAAAACAGCTTCTGAAACAGCCCTATTTTGTGTGTGAGTGTGAGCTCACACAAGTTTCCTCATGCTGTGCAGAACATTTGGCTCTCCATGCAAAAGCATGATTAACTTCAGCATTCAGACTTGATCCTATAAGACAGCTGTGGACCCCCACAACCCCACCCAGCTCTGGTTTTTGATTGATCTCTTAAGTCTCTAACAACATAATAGTTGGATGCGCAATTGCAGGGTTTTTCTTGCACATACAACTTTGGTGCACAGCAAAGAGGTTTTGGATTTCTACCAAAAGGAAAATCGCCAGCACCGTGATAAGAACACACTACTATTCAAGCTTAAAAATTCATTTTAAAATGGCCAGAAAGGACAGAAAAACGTCTGTTAACTAAGGCAACACACACTCTTCTGCTTGCATGTGTAGAGACCCTGCTTGACTTTGACAGGGCCCAATGTGTTTCATTTGAGGTAAGCTTGTAGTGAAGGCAGACATGCGAAAGGTCAGTGTGACAGAGGAGGATACTAGGGATGGGGTGGGATGGAGGGAGCAGCTGAAAGAAGAAATGTGGTGAATCTCTGACTTAATGTTTCAAGCAATCTCAGGATCACCACGTATAATTATTTTTTTTTCATAATTTCTGTAGTATTTTCCTAAAAATGAAAATGCAGAATCCTGCTATGTTTGACAACATATCTGCATGCTTCATGTCTTATAGACTGTTTTCTTGTGGCACACTCAACTTTGCTTGAAACTAGGCTCCTAATAACAAGCATGCATTAAAAAATGGAAAAATTGATATCATGTCATGATAATATCAGAAGTAGGTACAGGTACTCTTACATCCATGTATGGATGTAAGAGTTTAATTAAAAGGCCAGTATTTCAAAGCAATTTCTAAATTTGACTGCTGGTCTTTGTCACATTTTCTATAGGTGGTGGGGTAATATTGTTATGACCATACATAACAATATTACGTATGTAATTTTTTCAGACTACAAAAATCCTAAAGTGAAAATTTGATTGACTCTAGAATACTAACTCGATTTAACTGTACTACAGTCCAACTGATAAGGGATGTTTGAGACCAAAAGCAATGCCGATATTTCTTGATTTAAGAATCTGATATATCGGCCTTTTTTCTTTTATTTTTTTCCAGGCACATTAAACATAAACAGATATTCCTAACATTTGTTATGTGTAATAATTTACTCTGACTATTTACTAATGGCTACTTGGGGCTCTACAAAACCGAGTCAACCTCCATAGACTTCCAATGATTTATAGCCCAGTTATAATGAGCTGCTTTGGTCTCTATCTCTGATTTCATTCTTTAATGACAACTGTAAAGGATAGCCTTTTCTTTCTCAATCACCTGTTTTTAATTAAGGGTCACAGCCACACTGTCATGCCAACAGCCGCTAGCTGCCACCTCGCACTCACCTCGGCTGATTTGAGTAGCTGTGTTTGTGGTTGGTGCCTTTGGTTCCAGCATAACAAGCAGATAAGCATAAGGAGTGGTGACACCATCATATTTGTTTGATGTAATTGGAAGGTATCGAAAGACTGTTTGCAGCCAAAGGCTTATTAACACTTGTGAAGTCCTGTCTAATCCAGGTGGTGTGCTCTCTTTTTTTCTCATTATTAAATATGTTATAAATAAAACTTTGAGCATAGTGTTTCACACCTTATTTCCCACTTATGAATGACTCATTGTCACATATTTTTAGCACATTGATTTTCCTGAGGTGGTAAAATCTGAGTGCAGTTTGATGTAGTACATCAGCAGGTTGTAACTGTCATAAAATGGCAGAAATGAAAAGCAATGCATTATTTTGTTCTCTGCTGCTCACTCCTAAAAATTATGAGTCAGGTTGTGTGCTATGATAAACTGAATCGATACAATCAGCCCGGAAGAAGCAAGTGGACCAGAACCTCATTAGTGAAAATGCTGAACTGAGACCCGAGGAAATAGTTTCAAATGGAGGGTCACTCTTACAGTTTCTCCTCCAAATGTACAGCTTGAATGGTCTTTGTTCAGGAATGAATATTCATAGGAATAAGAACTGTAGTTTGTACAGTTTTGTCAAGAATATAAAATAAACAAATGTATTAATTTCCTGGTTTGAGATTGACTCGAACTCATTCCCACGTTAGCTTTGTTACAGACTGGTGCAGACACAAGCTTAAAGTAAATTAAATTATCTTTACATCAAATGACCAACACATGCAACTGTTTGCATGAACGTTGCTTTGGCTTTCACTAGCCTGACGTTTTCATACTGGAAAACAGGGGAGCTAGAAGATTGAACAAGCTGTAAAGGCATCAGTCTCTGCTTCAAGATTGTCTCCTGGAGCAGCGCTGCACCTCTTCCTGCACACCTGATTTTGGAACCTTTGGATCTCAAATAACCTTTTTTTTTGTGGGAGTGAAAGATCCTGTTTTCTGTGGGTCAGGTGTTAGCATGTAGGGGCTACAGTTTGGATAGTTTGCAGTTAATTTTGTCCTTCAGATTTCTCGGGATATTAAAGTACAGCCAGAATATAAAAACAATACTACTGGATTTTCACGGGGAACCAGTGAACTGTTCTTCAAAGATGAACGCTTAATTATGAGTTGTGACATGCTAGCTTTACCAGTGGCAAGTTTCTTTTCTTTTAATTATGTAGTGGAGTAATGTTTAAGACTTGTTGGTGGCTGTAATCATCTTCAGTGGCATCTAATCTCATTACCTCATGTTTTATCAGTCTGATGCTTGGTGTCGTCTTCCATTTTTGTTATTTCACAGCAGTCATCCTACCATCCATAAACGATTTGATTTTTTTTGTCTTTAATGACTTGGTGACAATCCATATTCTTCAAAAATCATGCCAGCCTCTATCTGCATTGACAGTCAATCTTGGAGATGCAGCTCTGATCACCAAGGATGCTACTGAGCAGAGATAAGTTTGACTTGCGTGGTGAAATTGCATATACGCCCATTAAAAGTGGTAAAAACAGGACTTCCAGTGGGCTGGAAGTGATTCAGAGGTGCCCAAGGAGACAACCTTGAAGGAAAAACTGGCCAATTAAAAAAAAAAATGTAAATACATTTATAAAATATGGAATTTTGAGCAGAGCTGTAGGCTGCATTTAAAAGATGCCCAAAGTTAAGTTAACATCTGTTCGTTCTAGTGAACAGGAGGGGGCGACTCTTCTGTTTGGAAAAACAATTGTAGTCTATAGATGTCTATGGTAAAACTAACCCACCACTCACTGGATCTGTGACCTTACTAAACACTTTTGTGATGAGTTTGTAATCTCAGTCACTAGTTTGAAGTCTAGTTGGGTCATGATGTTGATTTTTTGTGTTTTGGTCTCATTTAGAGTAAAGTGGCTAAAGCAGGGTGTGCTAATGCATGAGCGTGCAGTAGCCTTCATCGTGTCCTCAGCAACCAACATCTTCAGGTCTTAGTTGAACTGTGTTAAATATTCTTGTTAATCAGTATCAGAATAAAGAGACTGAGTGACCAGAAAACTCCTGAGCAGCAGCACAACTGGAGGCCCATGTTTTGCTAATAGTTAGCCCAAGTCAGGCTGTACCTGCCAAAACGGTTGACTACACTCAACCGAGTGTTTTACTTTTGTTTCTTTTGAGTTTGACTTCTTCATTTGTAAGAGAATGGAAGTTCTATTTTTGCCTGTCCTTAAACGGTACCGCACTTAATCGTAAACTTGAAACTTTTACTCCACATTGCAGAGGGTTATTGCGCTCTTGTAAATCATTCCCTGTGGCCCGACTGGTCAGACTTGGAGCTTGTGGGCACAGTCGATTCCCAGTGAATCTTTTGCTAGCACCAGGACGCCCTGTGTTTTGCCCTTAGCTGATGAGATTTATGTCACCACTGCAGCAACATTAGCTGTGTTCGCAATCAGCACAGTGGATTTAAGACGAGGGACAGCCACAGTAAACCAGATTAATTTGTTGAACATGAACAGTATGGGTTTAATTTGAAAATCTCTGCCGTCTGAGTGTGATGTTTTTTGTAAGTGTGTATGGACAAGGCTCGATGTGGGCGCGTCAGCTGCTGCTACCTCTTGATTTGTTCCCTTCTGCCTCCTGCATATCTCCACTTGCCTCCTGCCTTGCTCACCTGCCCCACTCTGCCTTGTCCCATCCCGCCTCAACCTAAACCAACCCCCACCCTACCCCCCTCCACTTCCAGGCATGGCCTCCATTTTGATGTCAGCAGTGGGACTCGGCGTGCACTTCACCTCTGCCCCTCTCCCTCAGCAGCAGCAGCAGCATCCGCCGCCACAGCATCAGCAGCCTGCTCCTTTCTCTCTTCCTCCTCCTCCTCCTCTCCTTCCCCCAGCCAGCAGGCCCATCAAGCCCCACAGCAGCAGCAGCAGCACCAGCACCAGCAGTTCAGTTAGGAGAGCAAAGAGGCAGCACAGGAGAGGTAGCTACCACACCATCAGTCCTCAAATCTACCTTTTTTTCTTCTTTTTTTTCCTCTCATCAACATCATCGTCGTCCTGTGATCTGCTTTTCATCCTCAAGCACCACACGCTTGAGGAACATTAAATCCTGCATTGACTCACTTTCACGCAAGTGTACTGACTATCTGTGTTGGCTTTGATTCAACTATCACAGGCTTTTCTGCTGTTTTCCCCCTCCAGTGTCATTCAGGCTCTTCAACTCCTGCACCTCATTAGCTTTAACTTCCTTCTTAAGTCTGCCTTAAGTTGGCTAAATGCGGCAAAAAGATGCTCTCTGGCAGAATGTTTCAATTCTAAATACAAGTGTATAGATATGGGTGATAAACTACAGGAAGAAAAACCTGAGTAAATAGTCTGTGGGGGGCAGTAAGTGCAGATAAGAGGAATATCTTGCCAAGCAGCTCAGAGTGGAGCCACTCTCTCGGCTTATGGTGGCGTTTGTTTTCATTTGTAACATATTTATTACAGCAGCAGGTCGTCGTTTAGGTGCCTATGACATCAGGACAAAATGTTGGTACCGTTCCAGCTTCTCATGCAAAACGACATTTGAAAGAAAAAGCTGCTGGAGGTTGATTCGGTGTGTGTTAAATGGGCTTTGCTCATTTTCTGTAGTTTGGTGTCACTCGGCTAATATGTTACCTGTCACTTTCACATTATTGCTGCCGTTCTTTGTTTCTCTATGTTGTCACAGCCGCTTGTTAAAATAAACAGGTCACGTGTCAGCGATTAGAAGCACAG